GTCTTCGAAATATTTTTTTCTTATTTCTCAGACATGCAGGTTTCCTCACGATGTTTTCCTTCACCGCCGAGCACGTGGTAAATCAGCACTTAAAATTGCAATTAACAATTTCATTGGTGCCGGCGGGGATCGAACCCGGGTTGCTCTAATACTGTGAAGCTTACATCGAGCGCTAACCATCTGAACTACCACGGCTCTCGATCTAAAGGAATTCAACATATATATTATATAATCTCTGCCACTTCAAAGTATATTAGTATTATGTGATTTTCTTTCCATGCACATAAGAAAAGAACATTGTTTTGCAATATATTATGTGGATAGAGAGGAAGAGTTTTGCTAAACAAACTGAAGTGTGGAGATTGTATCGCAGTTTGACTTCTTAGCATAATGATGTAAAATCGTTAATATATTTATTTATATTTTTATAAAGATAAAAGAGGTTAAATTTACCCATCAAAATACGTTATTGATGTATACGTGATATTTTGTGAAACAATATTAAGAGTAAAAAGTAAGAATAATAAGGTTTAAAAATCTTAATAAATACAAATTATATATATGTTTTTAAAAACGTTATCTCCACAAATTTTACTTTTATAATTAGATTTTCTCCTGTATCGCAGGGACGTTTACATACATAGATTTCCCAAGGATAAACACCTAGACCTAGAACAATTGGACGTGGTGATGCAAAAAGTATCCAACCCTAAAGAAGAAAGCTAATTTGAAGTTATGAAATTTGAAGAATGGATCTGTATGGTTTGTGTGTGTGTTTGTAATTTTTCTTCTTATTTGTATTACTTTTGCTAAAATTGTTGCATCACGTAATAGTATAGACCACAAACATTATTTTTCAACTGAACATTTTTGACACAAATTACATTGGATCCTTTTTGCGTAACTATGTACTATTATTTGTAGGTCATACAAATACTTATTCCGTTCGGGAATCGAACCCGCGACCCTTAGCGCTGCAACTCATTGTTAAGCCACTGCGCCACGGAGTCGTCAATTAATTGTCACCAGGATCCTACATAATTTTTAGTTATTTTTGGTTTGTTACGCTAAAAAAGTGTAAATTCCTACGTGCGTATATACACATTTTTTATTACATTAAGCATCTTTCAACTTAAAGAACAGGGCAATTTTCATAAAAATCGTTTCAGTAGTTTTCAAGATATGTTCTGTTAAGCGCAAAGTTGGTTTGAATTTTTAACCGACTTCAAAAAAGGAGGTTATCAATTCGACACGTATGTATGTAATATTATTGGAACTGCAAAATATTCACATATAATTATCTATTAGAGCTTCCAAGCAAATATACAAAATTTTATACGTGTATTCATTCATTCTCATTTCTCCGAAACTAGTCGGATTGTGATCATTCATTTTTATTTATTAAAACTTAGGGATTATTTGCTTACATTTATTTCAACTTAGATCACAAAGAAAATCTGTTCACTAGTGTTTATGATATTGGCTAAAATAATATTGATTGTTTTATTTAAAATATCAAATATTTGCGTAAATCTAAAAAAGTATAATACATTAAGATATGAATAGGTACCTATCTAACAGGTAAATATGACAAGCTATGCTGCAGGCTGCAGCTATATTAGTACTATAGTTGTAGTACGAATGGGTCGGCTCGACCGGGGAAGGACCACGCTCTAACAGAAGGTAAAGTAGGTTGGTGTCCTGTTTTCTAGGAGACCCTGTATGTATATAAATACAATAATTTTCTTAATAAAAAGTGACTGATAAGGCGCATTCTTCTACACGTTATCTTCGATTTTTGCTTAACTTACCTTCAAAACTTTTTCGCATCCAGCAACTAAACATTTTGAAGTCTTACTATTTTCATCAAGATTAAAATATCTATAAGATTTATTAATTTTTTTACGATTCATTTTCAATATTTGTAAACAAGTGTAGTTCGAATCAACTTTAAAAAAAAAAAAAATATAAGTAATATGATATCTAGGTATAATTATTAATAGGTCGCAAATCTCAATTCGCAAGCGGTTGATATCATCAAATGTTCATTCCCTTTAAAACGTTGCCAGTTCGCTTCTAGAGTGCGTGCGGTGCGAGGAATTCCTCGTCCGTCCAAGCTATCTAGTAGACCAATTGGATCCCAAGCCCCACCCATCTCGTAAGTCGCGCAGATTCGCGCGCCTTTCAAAATGAATAGGTTTGGCAACGTCGCGTCTTTATCGTTATAATAACGTTAAATTGCCTGTCACAATTTTGTTCTGTTACTCTTAAAACGTTATACTAAATATTGAAAACGCTTTGCTTGCTGAGGTAACGATACCATTATAACGTTATTATAACGATATACATTCTGTTATTTGTAACGTTTTAAGTCCCTGCCTCAGTGTCAATTAGCGACATCTGGTGAGCAGAAAATTATTAGCCCTCATTGCCTCCAAGACTTGCAACTCTTTCTATCGCACGATATGGGTACGGCGGATACGGAGCGAGCGGTATGAAACAGATAGCATTTTGAAAATACCTACTCACTCCGCGTATCGGCACTTCACAATCCTCTTAAAGGTGATTAATATAACTCTTAACTGTTAAAATAAACAGTGAAAAATTAATAAATGTATCTATACAAATAAATAAAATTGAAGTGTCTGTTTGTAATGTCAAAATAACAGCTTTTTTACTAAATGCATATGAAAGTATATACGGTACTCATAACAAAAACAATTTTTAAATTTTCTGTTTGTTCCGACTAATCTCAGAAATGGCTGGACCGATTTTGACGTGACTTTCACTGGCGTATAGCTGGTGTTATAAGGAGTAACTTAGGCTACTCTTATTTTAGAAAAAGAATTAGGGTTAACCCTAAATTATACCCGGGCAAAGTTGCGGGGTACAGATAGTTAAATAAATAAAATTGACCTTATTAAATAAAATTATTTTAACCAATCCATTCATAACAATCTAAGATTTCGTAACTTACCGAGCTAGTCATGTTTAGGCCATCTAGCGTCTATTTACGTAGGTAACACCTTGAAAGTCAATCAATTTTCGTTAGATAAAATGACTTTGTCTATAGAATGAAGTAGATGGCGCTATTACAAAGCAATTTTACTAGCAATTTTTTGAGGGTTTCACTTCTACCGCATGTCAACTGCACACATTTTTTTTTACTAATATCTCATAAAAACCAAGGTTCGCATAGTAAGCGAGATCCCGTTTGTAATTTTATATCCTGAATTACTACTTGCTCAGCGGAATAGTAAACCCGATTAATCTCTATAGCAAATGGCACAAATATATAATAATCTCTCAGAGACACATACTTGCGCCACTTACTCAGCTCAGTTGCCTCTGATGCCGCCTCAACTCTAATATGGGTACCTCTGAGATGAGTGGCCGCCAAGTGTCTACGCATTTAGCATTACATTATAGAGCTTTGCCTCTCTCCCAAGGGACTAAAATCATTGCGTCTTGGTTTCTGCCATCATCTATAAAATATTCCCCAACGGTCTAAAACCGCGGGAACATTATTTATAGAGACAAGAGCTCTTCTAGAAACGTCGTTCACAGAACTGTCACGAAACAAACTTCCGGCATTATTCTTACATGAAAGTACTACTATACTTCTTACAGATGAGGTTGACAGATCGCCGTTCCCACAGAACACATATGCCCAGTATCTATGGGTATGAGGAAGTCAGCAAATAATGTGAAGAGATACCAGCCGAATGCTCGGGCTAGTCGAGATTAAATCCAGTCCGAAAGAGAAGCTATGGCTGAGCATGTGAATCTCGCGCTGACTGGGTATTATTTGAATGAGAAGATAGCAATTTTGTAACATTCAAAGCCCCTAAAACACAAAAGTTTCCCGTTACCCCAAAAGGAGCCCGCTTGCCCTGGATCCTACTCCGGATATTTGCAGTACAACGACCGCGGTTAGTTGTATATGCGGCGAAGTTAGAAAAACATGGGGTTTTAGTCGGTAGGTAGTAGACAAAGTCCTTCCTTGCCTCCGCAAGGAGGATATACGTAGGAGCTTCTCTAAATTCGTCTTTGGTAATGTGTACAGCTGAGGAGTGTGATAATTTGTCAGCATCTGTCTTTAAATTCCATTACAATTTGGATGTATTCAAGGAAAGAGTGAATAGACTTTTGTTACGCTCAGCCAGCGTGATTTGCTATCTAGGACTCCATTTCCGCTTGCTATCATTTAAGAAAAAAATTCGCTTGTCAAACAATTCGCGCGGTCGTTTCAATTCGGCGCGCCGCGGCTCGTCGCTAACGGACGCAGTTTCATAGTAAATATATAGGAGGCGACTTTCTGCGATTCGATTCGACTCGGCTAGGCGAGCCTAGTGGACGCTAGCCTCAATCATAAGAAAATCTGTTGATGGATTGACAGAATTTTACTCAATGAAAACAACAAATAGTTCCAAATAATATATATTTTTAACCAAATAATCATCAATAGACTGCGATGAAATTCTAGCATTGTTACAATGAGCAATTTATCACTAAAATAATGATCTACAACACCTTTGGTACGTACACGATGTAAAGTAAATTCAGTCTTTAGTTAGGCTTCGCATCATCACGGCCACCGTAGGGCGACCTACCGTTGTCGCCTAGACAAATAATAACTCAGCACACGTTCACACAGTACATACAATTGTTAATTGTGCTTTTTCTCAAATAAACATATATTATGTGTGGCATTTTCATCTGAATTTTAACACTCGGTATGTGTATGCCATGGGCGTTTCTAGGAAACCAACAAAAAAAAACTTAATTATAAAGTCATACCATTTCCCTCATAACATTATCTTGATGTTCACTCAAGCGTTGTGACATAAAGCAAAATCATTGGGTATAGCAGCTCCATGTTCAATGTAGTTTTATAAAATTAACTTTTATTGGGGTTGTACCCGTGAACACGTTATCTTTGAAATTCCAAAATTCCTAGTTACACCCACGACTTGGCACTAAGTAATTTGGCTTCACTCTTACGCGTCTGTATCAGGCTTTAAAAATAAGACACCTTGAGCATGGAGGTCTTTTACTGCTTCCAACAACCGCTGTTCGGCTCTAGGATCTCCAAGGGCAACATCTACACTACCGGCACACAACAGAAGCGCTCTTAGCGCTGCTCTTGGCCAATCGGGCTTCAGACCTTTTCTAACCACAACACCTGATGTAGTAGCACCTAATCTTTTACATTCAGCCTCCAGCCTATCACCATAGTCTTCTATTAAAGACTCGCCGACAGCTCGCCTCATTTCCGGTGTGAGTGATGACAATAGCAATAGCGCCACGTCATCCATCGGTCTCCCCAGGGAAACCATTTGCCAATCAAGTGCTATACATTCGCTTTCACCATCCTTTTCTCTAAATAGAAGATTGCCACTCCAAAAGTCAGCGTGTGCAAGGGGAGCGGGTTCGGCAGGTCTCAGTAACGTACCTAAAAGGGATGGCGCTCGTGCACTCAGGGCCGAAACAGCTGCCGCCTCTTCAATACAGTCTGTGCGTCCTCGCAGAAACGCTTCAAGTTGTGGCAGCCCTCTTCGCACAAGCCGTAAATAACCAGCCGCGGCCCGCTCACAAGGGAAAAGGAAGTCAAATCTTTGGTCAAGTGGACCTTCTCTCTCTCGTAACGCTAGGGACAAAGCGTGTAATCTCGCTGCTGCATACAGCGCCGCTCTAGCACGTTCTACTGTCAGCCCTTCAGCGAAGTCTGCTGAATCGTATCCAATGGACGTTACGTCTTCAAGAACCAGCTCACTGTCGCCTCCGATTTCATCTGGAAGGTGAAACATATAAAATTATAATAATATATTTACAGCGTGCAGTAGCTATCACACTTATCTAGGTGATTTAATTTCAGAGTCATTGCGAAATCTATCTTCTTTTGATTTTTGGTTTTTGATTATCCACAGCTCTAATATGATGCTTACGCATCTCAGCTTCGTTTTTTATTTATTTTTAAAATCAATTGCATTTAGTGCGGTTACGTTTGACTGCGGCCCTGGGTCTGGGGGAAACTAGTATTTTTATGACTTTAAATTATTTACAAAAATAAACAGGTTAAATGCACTGCTATACAATGGAATCTTTTCCTCGCATAGCAGTGCAAGGGACTTGCCTTAATCGCCACACTTGGCAGAGGGATTGGCGTATTATAATGCCTCTACGATATAATATATAATTCTTGTAATGTTTTTAAGAATTAAGAAATAATACATAACAAACACACACGAAGTTTCGTGTTTAAAGAGATGGAAGGAATACTTCGAAAGCGTGTTTATGAGTGAAGTCTTCTGAATTAAGTGAAATTGAAATTCCCAAAGAAGTGGAGAGAGGTAGGAAGATAAGTATAGGTAAAATGATGAAAGCAATGAAAAGCATGAGAGTTTGTAAGGCAGCTGGATATGATAGAGTGTCACTTGGAATGCTAAGGGTGGAGAGGGAGTGGTGGCAGGCCTGCTGTACACCTTGTTTAATTTATGTTGGGAACTGCAGACAACAAGGCCTGGGAACAAGCAGACTGGTGCAAAGCCGTTATAGTCCCAATATATAAGGGAAAAGGGTCACAGCAGGACTGTAAAAGCTACCGTGGTATCAGCCTGCTTAGCATTGTGGGGAAACTGTATACTTAGGTCTTAATTGAAAGACTTATAAAGAACTGAAAAATTGCAAGCTGAATTTGCGAATGGGGTCTACGAATCAAGTCTTTTCTATGAGCATGATCGCGACGAAGTTTTTGGCGAAAACCCGCAAAGGTTTTTGTGCGTTCATGGATTTGGAAAACGCTTATGATAGAGTGGCAAATATGTTATCGCAAACACTGAACTCATTTGGGTTGAGCGCTGGGTTGATACAGACATTAAGGTCTCTTTATAGCAGTGATTCCCAACCAGCGGTCCGCGGACCACCAGTGGTCTGCAAGAGCTTAAATATGGTCTGAGGAAGATTTAAATACTTAATCATTTTAAATAACACATTTATTATTTTCTCGTCACGTGGGCAGTGCAAGACCGCGCGTCACGTTAGTAAATTAATACCAACTAGTTTTTACAATAAATACATAAATTATACTGTTAGTGAATGCTTCTTTTCAGTTTATTATATAATTTTTACCTAACAGCCAAGGAAGAGTTATGTGTTTGACGCATATCTTGTACGTTTGTAAATTTCTTTATTACCTCGTAGTATCTTCCAAACGGCTGGATGGATTTCGACAATTAAGGTATCGTTTTATTTGTCTTGAAAACCCAAGTGTTCTTAGATAGCTGTTTGAAAATAAATAAAATGGCGGATTTTGACGTAAAATAAAAGGGAAATTAAAAGGGAATTACAAAAATATATTATACTAGCTGTGCCCGCGGCGTAGCTCGCGAATATAGGTTTTACTTAAAGAATTTGCCGTTTAGGGTAAGAGAATATTAAACGATTTATATCATTACGGTATGAATAAGTGGTAACAAAATAAATCGATGTGCTCAAAGTTCTAAGTCGTTTATGATAGAGCTTCTGTGTAAACGACGATAGAAGTAGACTTAGCCGGGGCGTACAGATAAAGGTTACGGGGACTACTAACGCGGGAAAAGCAACATAGGCCATGTGCAAAACAATCAGTACTGAGGTCCACTCCTGCAACGCGTAAAGTTTGACCTTGCGCTTTATTTACGATCGTCGCATAACACACGCTGGGTGGGAAACACACTTAAAATAGGGATGTTAGATGATCATCGATGTTAAAATATAAAACTTCGATGTTTTAACATCGATGTTGACATATGTCAAACATCGAAACATCGACGTCAATGAACCCATAATCGATAATTGGGAACTTGCAAACAATGCGAACTCGCGAAATCAATATCAACTAAATCTTGCATCTGCTGTGAAGATTAAAAATTTTGAATAATTCAGAATTTCTGAACGCATCGTTAACCTAAAAAAATGTCAGTATGGTGAGTCAAACTTAATTGTCAAGTGTCTCCTGTAATGTCGCAATGGTCACTGCTTTCGCTTTATTTTGTAGTGTCGTTGTCGGTTGTCGCATAATAACTATTCTACGTAAATTGATATTCAAGTTAATTGTTACTTTTCCCTTGCTGTGTATACCCACATAATTTTGAAACAATGTGTAAGTATCTACACATATTTTGTATATATACATATTGTGTATAACCACCGATAATAGTCAACATCGATATTTTGAGTAGCCTAACATCGAAAATCGATGTTGAGCTATCGATGCCAACATCGATGTCATCATCGATGTTATTATCCCTATCTTAAAACTGAAGCCTGAACCGTGGTAGCTCAGATGGTTAGCGCTCGCTGTAAGCTTCACCGTACTCGAGCAACCCGGGTTCGATCCCCGCCGGCACCAATGAAATTGTAAATTGCAATTTTAAGTGCTGATTTACCACGTGCTCGGCGGTGAAGTAAAACATCGTGACGAAACCTGCATGTCTGAGAAATAAAAAAGTTCGCCAACACGTATTGGGGCAGCGCGGTGGACATTTCCTTGCCCTAAAACCCTCTCAGAAATGAGAGGAGGCCTGTGCCTAGCAGTGGGACGTAAATAGGCAGCATCTCTACTTTACTTAAAACTGAAAGGAAAGTTATTTGGTATTAGAGGGATTCTGGGTATAAAACAATATCACTATCACGACATTTATTTTATTGTATTTTGCTACTTTTAGTCGAGTTTTGTTCAATAATTGAATATTTCAATATCTCTTTTTTCTGGTTTATGTTTCTGATGATTTTTGTCGGCTCTTACAGGCAGGCATAGCTTACTGTATATATATATTATATGCCTGACAGGCTTGGAACTTCGTCGGCCTCATGGACGTAAATTATATCAGTGAGTATCAATACGATTCACCTGCGAAAAATCTTAACACCGCAATTCATAAAAGGTTGTAATTTGTACAACGCCATCTATTACGTTCTTTGTGAGAAAACATCCTTTTTTAATTTAAGGAAAACATATTTTTTACTGTGTTTTAAGTACTATAATAGAACGATACGAAATATATTATAATAGAACGTTTTTTTACACACGAATCTTTTTATTACTATTTCTGAGATTTTGTGGCGCCATTAAACAAATTCGAACCTACATTTCAAAATAATAATCATAACTTTCGATAGAATTAACCAATTTCAATAAAACAAAGATTAAATGAACTTGATAATACGCTTTGTGATTTTCAATTTTTTGAAATTGAAAAAAAAGATGTTTATTCAAAACGTCATGCGTCCATAAACAAACAGACAGACCGTCAGATAGTACAATTCTAAAAATTATAAAAATGTACTTATTTAATGATTTACAGTCCCCATAATGATTTTAGTCACAAATTAATATACTATACAATATTCAAAAACAGACACAACATGTTATTACCATTTTTATTATATGTATAGATTTAAAGAGAGATGGCGCTGTTAACATCAATTTTAAAAATAAGAGATTAATTGACACGATTGTAACAATAAAAAACATAAAAGAACTTATAAATCAGTGCCTGCATAGTAAGCAAAAAAGAAAGTTTGATCCTCGCCGAAAAACGAAATTGTTAATAGCTCTTAAAATTTGATTTACCACATAGAGTACTCGGCGGTAAAAAAATAAAAATAAATGAGATTGTCAACACGCAGTAAGGCAGCGTGTCGTTAATATAAAGGTTAGAAGCAAATATGAAACTCATCTACAGGAAAAAATTTTAACCTGCCTTTTTGTATCACATTTGTGCCACACCACCATCTATCGATGAAATTGGTTAACTATTGTACTTTAATTTAGTTTAGGTAATAAGGTTAATATATTTTGTATATATTTATTACGTTTTTTATGTAATACTTTTGTTTACTGCGTTTTAGATATAATTATATCATTATAGAACATTATTTTACATCATTTAATTATGATTTATAATATGATATTAATTTTAAAATGTACTTGACTCATCCAACGCCACTATTGAACAAATTCGTACCTATACTTATGGTCCGAGAGCTCATGACGCATTTTTCATGAAGTGTTTGATGCATCATGAAACTTTGTTTAAAGGTATCAGTCGACTCAATAAGCAGGTATATGACTGTCTGCCTGGCCTACCTGGGTACACCTGGTACTGCGCATACAGTTAAGTCGAAAAAAAATTTGCCCAAAAAAAAGTGTTTGATTCAAATAATAATAATGACTATCCGTTAGCTAAGTTTATAAACAATTAAGAAAAAAAATGGCAGACACTTCTGAAGGGGTTTACATAGGGGCAGACGACCACAAAGTTGTATTTTCAAAAATTCCAAAAAAAGTGTTTGATTCAGTCTGCCATTTTTACAGCGTGTTTATTATGTATAATAAAATATTCTCACAAAAAGGCAGACAGTTTCTCCGGGGGTTACTAATTTAAAAATCTATACAAATAAATAAAATTTAAATGTCTGTTTTTAATTTCAAAATAACAATTTTTTACTAAACGCATAAGACATTATATACGATATTTATAACAAAAACACAATTTTTAAAATTTTTGTCTGTCTGTTTGTTCCGACTAATCTCCGAAATGGCTGGACCGATTTTGACGGGACTTTCACTGGCAGATAATTGATGTTATAACGAGTATTTTAGGCTGCTTTTAAATTTAAAAAAAATTATTAGGGTACCGCGCAAAAAAAATAAAACCCTAAATTACATGCGGGCGAAGTCGCGGGGAACAGCTTTTTATTTTATCAGCAGCTATTTAAATAATCTTAAAAAAGTATAATTATTTTCAT